AATGGGGCCGCAGGGTCCATGAATGCCATCATTTAGTTATTTTTGCTACTCGGGAAATGACAAAGCCATCGTCCAATTTTCTTGATATGTTCCATTTCAATTGTGGCTTGCGCTGTCAATGGACAGTTCACGGCCAGTGGTTTCAGCCCTTTTAAGTAACTCAACACACAACAAACACATTTTTTGGTGTGTCCACAGCAACAGTAGTGGAAAATGGCTGAACCTTGACAGCACAAACACACTAACTAATGAGCATTTTCACCCGTTGCTTCTTCTGTTGATTTCTGAGTGATTCCGCTGCATTGCATACCATATGCGGCAAACGAGTGGCTGCGATATTGCCAAACCCATTTCTATCCGAATACTGAACAACGCGCAAGGTGATCGCTGTGGTGCCCCTGAAGGAAGGCACAGTGCCGTTGACCCTCCAATGCGCACATGACAGGGTGACTGCGGCAGCCGCCTGGCACCGCTCTTTTTCCTGAGCTTTTCGATCATCGGCAACTTCATCCTCCTGAACCTCTTCCTGGCTGTCGTGCTGGACATCTACGGCCAAGAAATGGACGGGGTGTCTCTCCTCACGGACGACGACATACTGGGCTTCAGGCACCTGTGGCAGGAATTCGACCCCGAGGCGACGGGGTTTCTGAGGGCCACGGATTTGGTGGCGCTGCTTCGGGAGCTGCCTCGGCCCTTGGGCATTCGGGAGCCTGGGAGGTCGGTGTCCCAAGGCGCGGCCATAAAATTCATGAAGAAGCTGGGAATCAGGCTCACATACGTGGCGACGGAATGCATGGTGTTCTACCAGGTGGGGTGGCATGCGCAGGGGCCGAGGGTGCCACAACGTTTCCCGCCCGTTCCCAAACACGCTAGCTCTGCTCCGTTTTCAAAATGCCCCAAAACTGTGCGTATTGTACTGGACAGTGTACTGTACTACGTGCTGTATTTCGCTTGCCCCGCTTGCCCGTCCGCCGCCCGACTGCGCTCGACATTGCGCAGTTTGGAAGTCTGGTGCGGATGGTGCTCGTGTCGCAGCGTTCGCGACTCGCCTTGTCAGCATTCACTAGGAAAAAAAGGGCCAAATAACACGTGTTCAAACGTGTACAAAGTTTAGGGGTTTGTGTTATTTTTGTGTTCTTAGTGTGCAGAACGTTGATGAAATGTGTTTTATATGTGTTAGCAAATGTGTTATTTGGCCCTTTTTTTCCTAGTGATTTGGCGTGTTCGTTGTTGGTGAGGAGCTCGCGGAAATGGGCGGGGCGGGGCGGAAAACTTGAATCCCTTCCGATCACAGACACTGATCACAGACCCTGCTTTGCTCGGGCAACACAGGGAGCTGACGGCTGCCTCATCGCCTTGTTCTGTAAAAAACATGGTGGTGATGGATCCCTTCCGAATTGCCTGATCAGGACGTGCTTCAGTGCCTTTTGTGCCGGCTCTACGGCGTCTCCTCCGCCTCCATACCCGAGGCAGCGAGGACGGAGATCACCAGGAAGATCGACGACCTGAGGTCCTCCAGCGCGAGGCAGCAGATTCGCGCCCTGCGACAGGAGCTCCACGCGCGCAGGAAGAGGGGAGACCGAAGCGTCACGCACTCCGCAGGCGCCGACCTCGCGTCGCCATCACACACCCGCGCTCACCAGAGTCAGGTGCCAGCGCTGCATTCGGGCGGCGAGGCGAATCAGTGCGCCCGCACGCTGAGACACTCCAGCCACTGGAAGAACTGTCGATCCAGCGCCTCGTCCCGGGTGTCTTCCGCGAGCGGGTCGACAGTGCACAGCGCGGCCGCGCTGGCCGGGAATTCCTCAGCCGGCAGGGAGGCCGAGCAGGGCCGCGTGCCCCGCGAGCTGGCGGAAAGGCTGAAGAGGAGCCTGCAGATGGCGAACAGGAGGGCCACCGCGGACCGCCCCGCGTACACCGCGGAGTACGGCGTGATCGCCCAGATGCTGCAGGCGCAGAGCCGCAGCATCCTGTTCAGAAGGCGGCTGAGCGAGCTGTACCTGCTGGAGGCCGCGGAGGGGGCCCTCGGCGAGGCGCTCGACGCCGCCGCGGACATTCTGGCCGTGATGGACACTGTGTTGGGGGTCCAGGACAGATGGGACTATTCGGGTGAAAGCTTGCGGCGTTCGGACACCGACGTGGGCGGAGGCGGAGGAGAGTGTGCGGCGATCTGTTCTAGCCGCAGCTGGGCGTGAAAGTTTCACACAGCGGTTTCGCAGTGAAACCGAGCTGCCTTCAGCGGGACATGCGCCACTTTGCGGCTGGATGAACCTTGAACTTCAGTGAGCCTGTGAACCCGTTGCCTAGTGATTGGCTGAGTAGAAAAGCCCTCGGTGGAGGATGGTCCCGTCTTGTTGAGCGACAATCCCCTGGTTCCCCAACCATGGCATCTCCATCTCGCTGCCGGCAAAGACGCTCTGCATACCACCCGCGATGCCCAGGGGAGTATACCGCAGAGGAGACCTCTTCCTTTGGGGCAGCTCAGCGAGATCTGTCCAGGGACAAGGCATCCCAACACTGGTACAAAACAGCCTGTTCGCGATGCCAGCTGCGATGCCAGCTGCGATGCCAGCTGCGATGCCATCTTGACACAAATTGATACCGTCGCAGTGAGTGCGATGGCATAAAAGGGGCTGCGATGGCATCAATATGTGTCAAAGTGGCATCGCAGTTGGCATCGCAAACAGGCTGTTTTCTATTGGTGCAAACCGTGCCCTACGCAGCTCCTCGCTTCAGCTTGTCTTGACATGTCACGATAGCGGCCGCGCCATTCGCTGTGTTTGAAGTCTCTAAATATCTGCGGTGAAAAGTGCCATGTCCTTCGCATCGAATAGGAGATGGTCAAGTGCCCATGCATATGCCCACATGGATGCAGCACTGCATATGGCACTTGGCATGTCCTGGATATGCATATCGAGGATGTGGCCACATACTGGGCATGAGGCATTTATGTCCAGGATGTACGGCATCCACAATCTATTCGGTAGAACTATACAGGATATGCAATTGCATGCATTTGCAGCTCTTTTCCGACGACAGCTCTTGATACGGAGGACCGAAATTGTTTGCTTCAAATTTCTGACTCGCACAATATGACCTCCAATTTCCTCCAATGGGATAGCCAGAAACACTGTAAACCAAGGGGTAATAGTGACATGAAAGTACAGGCAACACAAGTGGGACGTTTGCAACAGTTGCAGCGACTATTGCTGCATTGCATTTTTATTCAAGTCGCGAGTTTTGGTGGACAGAGAAGCAATTCATACACCCGTTATTTTCCACTCACACTCCATTCATAGTAGGCGCATTGCAATACCTAGGACGAAACAGGCAGCGAAATAGCCAAGTCGTGCATCTAATAAATTCAGCATCAAATTCAGCGCCATGGGACAAAGCCGACGGCCTAGCATTGGTTGCGCTATTGCATGCTTGCATGTGAGTGTGCTGTGACACCACAACACACTCGCAACCTCACTTCAGGTCTGCAGCCAAATGACAGGCAACTACTGAATTTTTGGATGGCCGCCTCGACATCCAACTCATTTAGCCGACCAGAGTTCTTTCTAGCGCCAAATGAACAGTGAATTCATAAGCCGAATTTTATTACCGGATTGACTCATGTATTTATAAACTGCATGGTGGATCGATGGGTCGCTTGGTTGGCTGTTTGACTGGTTGTCAACTCGATTCACAGCCCTTCAAGACTGGAAGTGGCTCAAAGAGAGGCCCATGCAGGATCACCAAATCGTGGGCAACTATGCAGGTGCCCGCTGGGAAGCTTCTGATGCTGAGATAATGGCCGCGATATATGGAAACTTTGCAATGCACGGATCTTTCCAGCGGTCATAGCATGTGAAGTTGCACCTCCCCAATGCATACGGAGGCAAGTGTGCATTTGAACTTGCACAACTTCGGTCTAGTCAAGGGACTAACGTAGTTAATAAGCTTTTGACCAGGAAGGCGTGGGTGAGAGACGTGCACAACTCAGCAATCTCGGCGGGAGACTAAGCTGGGGTGGTCGTCCCAACCATCGCCCGGACCTTGCGGCCCGTGAGCAGCTAAGGAGCACTTCAATTGGGCATCAACCGGCTCTACTTGTCTCTATACTTTCCAATCTGGCAAACATTATGCAGTACTTTCGATCTGCACTACCAGTCATGGCTGGCCGCGTCTGGCCAGACAGCGGGACTGTGCATTCTCATTTGTGCACCTGCGAATGAGCACGTGCAGAAGAATCAGCAGGCGAGGGCACACTCAACGCAGCGTGGCGGCTGTGTCAGCGACAAATGCACTAACTTCATGCCCAAATCCGCTGAGAGTATATTAGTCCCTCTGTCTTTTCCGTGAGGATCCCTTCTTCCTCCGCTGACAAGGCCAACGTTGGTCAATGTTTTTAGGGTTTCGGTTGTCGAAACAAGTAGGCTTGTTATTTACGTTTATGTTTACGTTCTTACGTTTACGTTCTTGCGTTAATGTTATTGCGTTTACATTCTTGCGTTTACGTTCTTACATTTACTATTTTACGTTTGCGTTTTTACTTGTAAGAACGTAAATTTGCAAAAGGCTATTTTTACGGTTATTTTTATGTTTTTTACGGCTCGTTGTGACACCCAGGTTACCCGATGGAAGTTGCGCACAGTGATCAGTACTCCGTTCCCTTGAACGGCCGCAACACAGCGCACTTCCCACTCGGCGAGGGCCACGATGGAGTGAAACGAAATTCGTTTTCTGCCCATTCCAGTGCGTCTGGATGCCAGTCCCCGGAGTCCCGAAGGTTGCATGAACTGTCCTTATGTACACGGGGCTGGTTTTTACGCTGTACTTAACGTATTTTTACGCGTTTGTACGCGTAGAAATGTGATGCTATTTTTGCGCGTAAAAACGTAAATACAGTCTTTGTTTACGGCGTGAACAACAAGCCCGGAAACAAGAGGGGAGCTTCACAGCAAAGACAGACCACTCGACCTCCCAGTCAGCCCGGCGGGCGGCCCATCGCACGGATGGGCTCCGGCGGCCTCCAAACCCCGAGGTGCGGCGCCCCGCCCTCGCGTGTCGCAAATCGCGACGCTGCCCTCTTGCGGGAACGGCCTCAGCTGCAGCGAGACTCGCTTGCAGTTGGAAGGCCATCCGGGATGGGCTGCGCGGGGACGGATTCGCCATCGTCGACAACTTCCTTGACGGCGCCGACCTCCTAGCCCTCAGGCAGGTGCGGCATTCGGAACCCGCGATCCTGTTCCGGCGTCGGTGCTTGTCCTTTCGAGTGGGCCTGGCCCTGCCCAGCCTGGAGATCGCGCTGGTCTGGCTGCCAGCTTCAAAGGAGGATGCGTTTTCACAGGGAAACAGGCCATCCATTTGCCGGGCTTCAGGTGCTCGTCCATCCATCGACGAACGCAGCAGCTTGCCGCAGGGTGGGGAACCAGCGCATTGCGCATCGCGGGAGCGTTTTGCGCCGATTGTGGAGGAGGGGCGGCAGATTGCGGCCCCGAGGGCTGGCACGGACGCTGAAGTCTGCTGTTGCGTTGATGGAAGGAATGCGAGGCCGTTGTGGAAGCGACGCTCGCCAGGCTGCGGTGCCCATACAGTAACGGAGATCAGGTGGCAAGGGTCAGGTGGGGCGCAGGTCGACTGAGGAATTAGACTCGTCCGCGCCTGGGCAAACCTCCGCCAAATTCAGCATGCCAAATGCATGGGGCAGCAGCGCCCAGCGCAGAAGCACTTGGCGGAGGACAGCATGTGCCAGAGGGGTGGTAATATTAGGGGCTGTAAAGAATGTTAATTCCTCTAATGGTTCCATTGAAGGCAGCAACCCGCTCTCACGGCCGTCGCCATGCAGATTGCTACAAATTTCGTATCTGCTGTCTGTGCACTGGTCGAATCCCAATCATCCTTGCGCAGATCCCTTAGGTGATGAGCGCACCTTTGCTGTGGAGAACGGCCCGCTGCACTCACTCAGCTCCGTGTTCATTCTGTGTTCAAAAGTTCGAAAGCACAAATGCCCAACCACTTTCAAGGCAACAAGGGGGATTCCATCGATGCCACATTTGAATCCGAAATGTTCTTGTGCTGCCTTCAAAATCGCCTCTTGAGCTGCGGCTTTGGTTTTCATTGCATATGAACTGCATCCTTACCTCAAAAGTGATGATTAGTTTCAGGCATGACGAGTGTAATCAAAGGAACCTGATGATGAACGTGCATAATTCCGAGTAGCAGTTGGGTGTCCCCGCTGTGCTTGGAAGAGCGGAACCTTGTCCCAAACTGCATTACTTAGCTCGAATGGCGCCCCAGCCAGCAAGATCTCTGTTGCTTGATGACTGCAAGTGGGAGACACCTGAGAGTGCTGTGGCCCTGTCCAGTGGGTGCATTTTCCAACCTGTTCGGCCTGACTGCGATGGTGTGCATGGCCTGGGTGGTTACCTCCAGGCCAGGAAGGCATGGCCGTGCAGCACAAGAGTGGCCGAACTGTTGCTGGGTGGGAAGATGAGAGAGCTTGTTAAACACTGCTTGGGGACCGGAGGCTTCGTCTTCAACGACCAGGTTCGAGGATATCACCCTTCGCACATCCATCGCCATTTCTTGCTGTTGGGTCAACCTTCACATTTGGAAAATTGTGAATAACTGTGAACAGTTGCGAATGAGCCTGGCGTCAGGTTTCGATGACAGCGGTACATGCAGCTTTGTTCCATGTTTGCACCCACAGCTGCCTTCCCTGCTCCCTACCATGGATCCATGGGTTTTGAGGGCAGGTGAAGTCAAGGGTCTATTCATGACTGCAGGGCCTATGCGGATACAGCACACAGTGGGATGATGGCTTTCAGTTTTCCAATGCTTGGTCCTGTTGACGATGATTCAATTCATGTTGCAAATGCTGCATGGGAACAATGCACATGAAGACAGACATTGTTACTTTTTATGCTGTTGCAGACTGGCTTTCATAACATTATCTTTGCGATGTCGTGGTTGGCAAATAATACTGGCTGTTGGGTTGCAGGTTTTCTGGTTTGGTTGGTGTGACTTACTTGCTATGACTTACCTGTGTTTTGAATAACTACGGAATATGATTGAATAGACCTTGGCACATGGAATTACAAAGGATTGACGAACAACTCGATTTTTTTCGTGGGCAACAGGTATCACCCTTTGGTCCTGTGATTTTGTGGCAGCGGATAGTAAGAATTGGTTTGGCAAACTTTTGGCTTCTCCTTGAGAGTTGTCTGCCCTTGCTCCTTGCAAGACTCTTCATGGCTGGCCCCATGACCACATGATCAGCAACCGCCTTGCAAGGGGATGGCAGTCACACTGTAGTTCAGCGCTATCGCTGACACCATGCACATGAATGGGCCGTCCACGTTTGGGGAACCCTCTTCTGGAATGAACAAAGTGGCATTCACTTTGGCCCATCTGCAAACTCGTTCCCAGTTGTGGGTGCTGAATGTTGGCGGGGCTCTTGGTGCAGTACATTGTGAAGCCCCCATCATCGCAACTCACTGCCTTCAAATGGCACCGGGACTCTGATCAGCTGTGTGCCTCTGAGGTCGACTACCAACCTTACATATCAGTACGTAAAACCTTGATGTTCTGGTAGGTTATCACATTGTGCATGCTGGCTTTGTGTCTAGCAAGCATGACGGTGCATATGTTTCTGGCACCCGTTTTCTCAACCAGGGTATTGTGGCCTTGAAAACGCTGGTGATCAGCATCAGAGCATACACAGGCCCAGACAAAGATTGCCAGCACCTTTGCTGCTGAAGTGATGGTTGGGTATTCGCTGCGTGGAGAGAATCAGCAATGATTCTCGGTGACAGTCAGTAATTGTGCTGCGGAATGCTGCAAGTAGGTGCTCTGTGGTGCTGCAAATAAAGGCTTAACTACAGCCTCCACCAGCCCGAACTATGAGGCCAGTCAAGCAACATCAAAGTGCGTGAGTGGTTGTTTGTGTGCTCATCCCTGTAGGTGTGGTGTGCGCTTGACAACATGACTGAAGGTGCGCACAGGAAAACCCCGTTTCTGTGGCCATGGCCTCATCAGCGAATCGCACGTGAATTGCCTTTGCTATCTTGTTCTGCTTGACTCAACTTTGTGGCTCACGTCCCACTGCTACACAGCTGTTATAAAAGTGCAGCACTGGGGGTGCGTAGGCCACGGCAGCAGGCCATCTCAGGACGCACGATCCTGATGGATGCTGGCACAGTCGCCGTTTCCTGAATGCAGAGGCGTGCTGGGCGTCTGCAGGCAATGGCGCCCTTACGCTGCTGCCCGGGAGCGCTGTATCCTGGCAGTCTGACGCAGCATCAGCTCGCCCTGAAATGGACGCACGCCTTTGCTCAAACATGCCTGATTCCACCGCCCTCGACCGACAGGTCGTTGCCAACATATCTGCGGGCTCACTGGTGAGTGCTCATCCCCAAGAGAGCCCCGAATGGCCGTCAACCGCTCATGCTGGTCTGCAATCCCCTCCGCCACAATTGTAATGCGCTGTTTCTGGACCTCTGAGCTGGCCAACGACGCCAGAGCAGCAGCTTGTGCGTCGTTCCGTTGCAGCAGGACCACGTTGCTGTCCAGCGGGATTCACTTCTTTCGGCAGTGCCGCCCAAGGGCTCACCGACGCTTCACGCATCAGCGACGACGTCAACTTGCCCTCAAAATGTTCGTTTGGATTGTTTCATCGCCCACGTGTGACACTACTATTAGCTGGCAAGGACAACAGCAAACCTTCCAGTGGAGACTGGGATGGCACAAGGCCAGTGCATGGTGGTGATGGCTTTGTTTGTTTGCAGAGAAGATGTGCACACAATTCTGCCCAGTCATTCATTTTCCATTTCCTCCTTAAGAGTGTCTCCGCATCTCCACGATGTCGCAGGTCACTGGCATGCCGTCCTGATCACCATCGCACTGCTGGGGACTGATTGCGCCGATTCGCAATTTTTGCTGGCCTCCATGTGGAGGTGATCAGCCAAGGTCGGAGTCGTTTGGGCTGTGTTGTCGCCATGGGTCTTGCGCGCAGCTCACTGAGTGTTGTGCGACTGATGCAGGTCGTTTTGAGCGACACTGTCCTTCACAGGAGTGGTCCAAATCTCAGCAGCTTCAGCCGGCGAGCATGGATGCCCCAATTCTCCAGCAAGCCGATCTTGTGCAAGGCTACAGGGTGCCCCATCGCGCATGCCGTTCCACTCGAGGCCCTCCAAGAGCCTGGCAATGTAAATCATGACAGCTGAGTAGTGCTTTCTTTATTCGTCTTGTCTGCACCCCAATTTATATCCTCATTTTATTGCCAGTTCCCCATCTGCCCTTCTCTCTGTTTTGGTGTAGCTCATTTGGAGAAGGGTGAGCGAGTGGTGCCGGAAACGTCTGCAATGGCCGCGACCGTGGCAAGTCATGCCAGCCAGCCTGAAGTTGCCATGGGCGACAGAGAGCGCGAACCACCCGCAGCACAGGCGTGGCATCCACCCCAACCTCGCCAACAATGTCATCATACAGGTCATCGACACCATGTGTCACGTACAAAAAGTAAACAATGGGGGCAAACGCCCTGCCAGTTCTCAAGCCAGCGTTCTTGAAACCTGTGCTCATCGGCCTTTTATGCACAGTTTTATTGGAGTGTGGCCAACAGTGTTTCTGGAAACTGCCCATCACAACTACACCTTGGCGGCAACCGGGCCTCAGGTGTCTGAGCCTTGCATTTGCCCACCCTCCCTACACTGCAGGTGCCCCACCAGGAACAAAACAACAAACCTGTCATTCGTGCACCTCCACGGCTGATTCCTATCTTGCCCATTGGTCAGGTGCAGACGCAGCCGTTATGTACATTGTCACGGCATCCATCGCACCACACAACCCACCCCACTCACCAAGATTCCAAGCTACAGCACAACCTGCACTCCGCTGGCCCCCAAATGCGCAGAATGCTGCACGGTTTCGCGAGCATGTCGCAGCCTGGTTGGCGTCCAAGCGCCAGGGCCATGAAGCGCAATAAATTACAGAATTGGTGCAAAGGGCGGGAAGTGTGGTGTGGTGTCACCTTTGCGCCTGCCTGGCATCCATGCCACTGAATTGTGCCTTGAGGGCGTCCAGCCCCTCTGCCGAGGACTGCAGCCAGGACTGCCTGCTCTGGGCGTTCGGTGCCGTGTGCGGGGGCACGGGCGGACGATTCTTCAGAGGTGGCAGGCCGCCGCCGTTCATCGACGCCACCTGCAGACTGGCTGCGGCGCCGTAGGCCATGGGGTTGCCCTGGTTCCAGCAGGACAGGAGGCGCGACTCCAGAGCTTTCAGCTGCTCGGTGGTCTGCATGACAACAAAGAACGCCATGTGAACAGAAACGCAATCGCGACCTACATTGGGTACCTGCCTTTGCCAGAAGTTTGCGGTGCTCCCTCCGCACTGAGATGATGATGCACAGGTCTCGGGCAATGTGCCCCGCCAGCAGCAGCACTGAAACATGCTTTGCTGTCGCGAGGACACACTGAATTCTTGTGTTGCAAGAAGGAGCGGCAAAGCCCAGTGATACCGCCAGCACGTGCCAGCGCTCCCGTCACTTTTCAATGGGCCGCATCCACGCGAACACAGGCAAAACTTCCGAATTCACGTCCCTTTCCGCATGTCAACGCATGCCAGCATGCTGTGGGGTCCCTGGCTAGATGCACCTGGTACTTTGATCAATTCACCTCTGCATTCTTCCCACCGCACTCAAAAGATTGCTGATCCCTCTTTCACCGCAAGGGTGGTGGACAATGGCACCTCACCTGATGGTCTGTGGCCTCCAGCGCAAGCACGCCTATCACCTCGATCAGCTTCTCCTTCAGTTCCTCCGGCACCTGCTGGGCACAAGCTGCATTCTCTGGCTCCGCCAGCTGCCACAGCCAGGGCAATATGCGTGCGATGGCGGTGCCCTCCGACAACAGCAGGTGGAACGACCGCAGCAGCTGGTTAAATGTGCTGGGAGCAAGCTCTGGCAGGATGGGCCCCGTGCGTTGCAGCAGCCTCAGCAGCATGAGGTCGTTGTTGGGGGACGCCATGGCCTCTGTGTAGGCAGCGTCCAGGTTCTGCATGCTTGGCGTTGAGCAGTTGGACCTCACATTCTGTTGCCCGCCAGACCAAGGCGTGTGTCAATTCCATTGTGCAGCCACAAGGTACACTACGCAAAAGGCGCTGGTTACCATCGCAGTAATACAGGGTACCATAGCAGTGAAGCTCTGCTAATAATGTGCCCTCGATTTGGGTACTGCAGCATCCCACTGAACGGAGTGTTGGATGTCCAACCAACTACCGGGGCAAGGTCTCCTTGCTTCAACAGCATCAGCATGCGCACAATTCTCGCTTTCTAACGAAATGAATAAAGTCTTCATCCTCAACAGACGTGTGCTCTACGATCCAAAACCCAAAGCCGCGTTTCAAGGGCACCTTACACCGAGGTCGACAGCATGCCTGGCACAATTGTGTTTCCAGTGAGAACAAGGCAAACTGAGAGGAAAGCAACAGCGAGGTGCTGCGGGTACGGGCTGCATCACTCAAACTGATAACACACTACAACAGAACCCTATTTCTATTGCTGATTGTGTGGGAGATATACACATTGGTGGACGGTGCAGTTGGTGAAAAGCAATATACTGACAGGACTGATGCAACCTAAGCGACGCTGCACTTACATTGGCAGTGGCCTGCGGTGCAGCAGCTTCTTGGGGCCTCTGTGGTGGTGACGGAGACGTGGACGGTGCTCGCCCATTTCCCAATTCTGGTGTGATGGCACGTCTGATACCCTCCCCCATGGCATTCATGTGGTCTTGAAAATCCGCGACCATCTGTTGAAGATACGTCACCTCGCTCTAGCATTGGCCAAAACAGAGGTCAGTTGCACATCCACGCCTCCACGGCAGATCATGTCTCATCACGTGAACAGTAACGACATCGTGTGGATGCTCTGCTGTAGCTTATTAAGCATACCGCATGTGTTGGAAGAACAGCAGCTTTTGGCAGCCTTTGTCGTGCATCTCCAGCCTTTTTTCCTCTGCACATCCACATCCCAGATTACGGGTATTTCTAGCCCGTTTCCAAGGAGAGATCGAGGTCACATACGCGTGGAAATAATTGCAGGCAGTAAATGGGCAAGCCACCGGAGCTTGATCATAAAACGGGGTGCAAATGCTCAAATATACCCCAATTCCCCGGGGGGGAATACAAGGGAAAAGCAAAGAAGAAAACGGGGCTGCAAACAAATTGGACCCTTTTCTATATCCCTACATATTCCCAGTGCCACGTGGAGGGCACGCTGTGGGAGTCACTCCCGAAATACTACGTTCACTTGCTGCTACTATCCGCCCAAATGAAAATGTTCAATGTTGCTTTGCTAATAAGGGGGCCATATTCTCACTTACAGGGTGCTCTAAAGTGCAACTTTCAAGGAGATTATCAAGCATCTCAACTTAACAAACTGAGTGCTCATGCACGCACAGGATATTGTGGCCGTCTCTCGGAGGTGGTGCTGAGGTTACATCAACATACTCGTTCAAGCAAAATACAAAGTCAGCTGGACCATATCCAAAGTACCAAGCAAATGCTAGGATCCAGGAAGTCCAGGCAGCCTGGCTGCGCCTGGTAATAAACCCACACAGCTACCTTGAATGTATCCCGAAGTGTAGCTCACAGCAAAACACAGTACCGTACTGAAAATTAAATGCACCATTTGCAACAACTCGACACACACCTGCAAACCAATGACGGAAGTGTCGATCTTGTTGCTCAGGCTGGACACCATCTCAAATAGACGGCTCTGCTGTCGCTCCATAACTTCCAGGCGATCGGCCACTATGGACATCTGGCTGTCTGCTGCCCATTCCTGCAAAGTGAAAGTTGATCAAACCGCGCAGTCTGCAAGACTCTGAAATCGGCATCAACACATTAGCCGACCTTGAGCGCATACCACACGAAACATGTCCCATGGATGGGCATAAACCCAATAAATGTGTGAAAACATGCATTCAGGGCCAGCAGCATACATCACTGTGCACAATTACAATTGGTTCAAGGTGAATGGGCGAATCGTGGATTGTTGCCAAAAGCCGCCGTCCAGGTATTCAGCAACACTGCATTCACAACACCACTAAGTGCATTCTCACTTTGCAATTATTACATTCATACAATTTAGTACACAAGCTTAGGAGGTTCACTTCAATATCGTTCAGGAGCTCTAGAAAAATGGCCGCGCACTCCAGGGATTCCCTCACCGTTCGATCCTGCACATCATCTTGGCACTCAGGCATGCAGCCCTGCTCCTCCCCATTCATATCGCCATTGGCCGACCCTAGCTCCACTGCGTCCTCATCCACGATCGCATCGGAGCGAGGCGACGGTGACTCAGGCTCGGGCGTGTCCATCTGGGGCGGTGAGTTTTGGGGCGTCGCAACAACGTCCTCCTCAGCGCCTGCCTTCTTGAAGGTTTCATACAGGGCTGAGTTTGGGTCCATTGCACTCTGTCGGCCAAAACCCGGGCTCATTCGACCGTTCTGGGACGCCACAACACCTGGAGGTAGTGCTAGCAGCAGTCACTTCATGCAAAGGACCAAAATTCCAAAACTTTAACCAGTTGCTTCTCAACTCCAAGCCCAACCAGAGGAGGGAAACGGTCAGTTGTCACCAAAATGCTGCAAGCATCTTTCCCAATACCTCCAAGCACGAGTGTGGAGCAGACAGATGACATTATTTCAGGCGAATTTGAAGCTCCACACTACCCACACATAACAATAGAATGCCAGTGCATCGTTCCATGTTGATAACTGCTGATGTCCATTGGGTGCCCCACACAGTGGGTGCCTGGACGTCATGAAGCAATCAGATGCAGCCCTGTGGCAGCATTGGTGTTGCAGTGAAGCGGTGGCAGAATGCGTGACAAGGGAAGGCGATGAGGCATCTAGGCAATGAACACTTGGTGCATTTTGGGAAGTCGCATCAAATGTATGCTATGGTTGTAATGATAGTTTTGAAGTCGATGCTTGTCTGGTATCTCACTGCGTTGTGTGTCAGCATGGAGCAATCCAATGTCACATGTCATCGACCCCAACATCAGCCCTGTCCACGCGCTGTCTCATGTTGTTGTGTCATGTTCCTTTGCTGGTATTGATGTCATCGTGCTGTGTGGCTGTGATTCATGACACAGCAGTGCCACTAGCCCGTCTGACTTGTAGCGGGAAGAAGGTCAAGACAGGGGCTCGTCAGCGTGTTTGTGGCGACTGCAGAGCAGTAGATCCCAGCACGAGATGACGCAGTGAGGGCCAATGAAGGCTGTGTGTGGTGGGCCTTCCATGACATGTCCCACCCATGGAAGTCTGAACTGCATGCACTGCAATGATGGTGCTCCAGCTCACCCATCACTGCTGGCTCCACTTTCCTTGGTCCCAAGATGTCCCACTCCAGTCTGCGTGGATTCTCACTCATGCTGTGCACCGACAGCACGCCACCATCAAAAGCAATGTTCCCTTGACTGCCTGCAAGCTCACAAAGAGGAACTACAGCGCCATTGCTGGTGCCCCTCCTCAAGAAACCATGGCGTCCATTCGAGGTCGGGCAAAGTCGCCTTGTTGCCCTCAAGCCAGCTGAGTTGGCCCTCAGTGCGCTCAGTGCCTTGCCCTTTTTGGCTTTCTGCAGGGGCGTGATCTCTGCCTCATTGTCGTCTGACCCAATATACCGAATACACTTACCCGCTGTGGGGGCCTTTGCGGCCTCTTCCAAGTAGAAATCCAGCCATTCTTCACTCTGATCAGGGGTCTGGTACTTCTGCAAAATGTGCACAGCTTGCAGCGCCTCTAAGATGGAGTCCCTCGCTGGCTTAACCTGTTGTGGACCAAAAGTGAATGAGAAACAACAGAGAACAAAGAAGGCGCAACAATCAGGATTCGCAAACACCAGGGCCACTGCCATTGACACCTCCCGGAATCGGCTTATTGGCTCAGCAACTGTCTGGACACTGAGTCTCCAGTTCATTTACAGAAGTTGGATTCATACCAATATGCACAGGTGTAGGACAGCATAAACAATTCCTAGCAAAATGAGTGATGCCGCATACATTGGGGACCCAAAACTGTCAAGACACCAGAGATCATTCACCACCACAGCACAGACAATCTAAAACTGCATGAATACAACACACATCCACATCCGCAAATGCATCCTTCCAGAGTTTGTTTCTTCCTGTGGCCCTGTGGCCAGGTTCAGTTTATGGCCCATCCGAGAATCCTCCTTGCTCACCTTGTCAAACCTGTACTGGTTCAGAGCCTTTCGTATTCTGTGGCTCAGCTTCTGGCCCTCCATGCCACCCCTCTGCTCATCCACCTCTGGGCCAAGCACCACCACCACCGCCCTGAGGGCATCTGCACACGCCTTCCTCAACGTCCACTCCTTGCTGGACAGGAATGACAGCAGCCCATTGCCAGATGTCGAAGCAGAGGCAGGGTTCCCCATGATATGGTTCATGTATGGTTTGAAGGAAGGCGTACTGTTCTGCAGTGGCAAACTGGGTGAACTCAGAAGTGCCACGATATCTTGCCCTCCACTATGGATCAACATTCCTTGCATCGTTCAATCATCAGTTCGGCAAGAGGGCTCCTGTCTTCTATTTCGTTGGACAAGGATTCCTGGGTTCAGTGGCTAAGCACTCCTGAGACTGCCAAGAGGCATGCTGCACTGCCCAAAACAGCAATTTCATTCAAGTCCACCCGGACATATTGAAATACTTGGCTTGTATTCAGTTAGTATTCCTTGCACAGTGCATGAAGCAACTCACAAGTCATGGCACTCACAGCACTTCCAACTGCACTTTCATGAGATAGGCATGCATGGGTAATGTTGTGGACATGATGGGCATGGCTGTTCATCTGCCTATAGTCTGAATTACGCTTAATCGTATGTCCTTAGGAAATACACAAGGCGAATGGGCATTGCTACAATTCACCAACCCACCTTGAATAAGCCTCTTGGGAAACCAGATTCATAATCCCATCCAGCCAAGGCCGACACCAGCACAGATTTGGCATGGAAGCCATTGCTCTTGAAACATCTGAGCAGTTCCTTCACATAGTCTTTTGACATGGGTCCTACAGAAGGTGCAACCTGTCGCGACATCAATGGCACAGAAACAGCACATCAGGACATTCGTGCCGTGCTCTATAATCACTTCCTTGTTCTGCTCGCACGCTTGTGCTACTCTCATATTGCTCCAGTGGGTCCATCAAGTCTATATTCTGTTTACCCTTTGTCAACCTACCAAGGGCACAATGTGTCTTCCCAACCAGGCAATTAACGTGCTGCACCTGCGCAACTGACATCGCCAGACTGGCAAAGGGGCTCTGCTTTGTCATGTGCTGCGCATCGTGAGACAGAAGCTGAGGCTCTGCCTGGGAACTGCTTGTCTGCGTGATCTAATGGGACTCTGCCTCAGAACAATGCTTACCAGGAAATGGAGCGATGATGACCAATCACACCATCACAACGACTTTGCAGGCGTCCAAATACTGCTCATGATAGTTGCCAAATGGTCAAGCAAATGACTGGATACTACAATGATGTACCACTGCCAGTGCAAGCCATTCTTGTCCTGGACAGCATCAGTACAGCCTGAGTTTCCTTCGCAACAACGGCACAGTGCCAAGTCAGTGCAACGATAAAATTCAGCCAAGAAAACGCAGAGAGATGTCTCAGTCTCCTTGACTACAAAGAGATTTGGAAGTAATCCTGCTGGCAGAGACAAGGCCACAAAATATAAGCACACCATTCTTCTAATGTCCTTTGTTGTCAGCACTTTACAACACATGCTTAAGAGTTGAGAAGCTAACTTTCGTTCCCATGTCAATAGTGTCACTGCAAACTTCCATGATACACTACTGTGGTCGAGCCCAGATTTGCGCACCCTCAGCAGAGCCGTGCTGGCGGAGAGTTGTGCATCCTTCTTCGGGTCCTGCAGCGCCTCAAATATGTTTCGCACAATCACATTGGTGCTGTCCCCTGTGAGGAGTCCACCAGAGAAGTCTGCGATGTTGGCCGCCAAATATCCAAGTACATCGGCTGCTGTCTCTTGAACACCAATATCAGGATCCTGCACAGCGAGTCCACTCGTTCTAAACAATGAAATGGCAATAGAGCAGCAAGAACCACTTTCAAATATTCTTCCCGTGCACAGGGCAGCTGGTAGGGGACCGGCTGACAGTGCCAGACGTCCAAAACAAAAGCCAATATTCAACAGCCAAATTGGGACCCAACCTAACTGCATAGGTTTAGTCTTAGTCCCCATATCCAGCACAGCGTGGTGTTCCCAAATGGCGTGCACTGCTGACTTCCATTTTCTGTTCTTATCCAGCAACCAGCCTGGTCAGCTTCACCCTTGAGAATGATCAAGACCAGCCAAGCAAAGCAGCAGCACAATCAGTGTCACTGCCCAGGTGATGCCAAAAATAGGCAGGGAACAGGCACATGGCAATGTTGCCAAATAGCCAGGGCATTGCCCTCCACTTTTGCAACTCTGGGCATCTTGTTTCTTTGTCAACTGTAGATCGGGTTGCAAGCAGTCCTGCTGCAATGGCTCAGACAGGCTCGTTGCCCATAACATTCTGAATTAACTCAACAACATGGCCTGAAACTGGGCGCCTATTTGGCCATCTCAATTCTTGGCACCAGGACTCTTGCCCACATTGTTGTTGGCCTGGCAATGAGCTGGGACCAAACAAGCATTGGAGAGACTCTCGATGCTAACACTCATTCTCATGCCTTTCACACCCCCAAAGACAAGCCTGGAAGATACTCCGGGATGGGAAAGAGCTGTCAAGATTTCTTGCTTAGTGCGATGTGCCCAACACGTGAACCCTGGTTCTTCCTTGTGCAATGGTCTGGCAGGAGGTTTGTGCGTGGGCGCCACAAAGTTTCAAAACTCCCACTGTGCCAGGTCAGTTGCGCTGCTCCCCAGTGCCTGTTCTTTGACAACATGACACCATCCAAAACCACCTCCCCACCCCTGGGCTCGAATTCAACAATAAATGTTGATGGCAGCCTCCAGCTCTCCATCTGTGATCTTCCCGCTCCCTTTAATATTGGGACAACGCAGCTGAAGCAAGCCCCCTGGCTCGTAAGTTTTGCGTGTCAAAGCCCCTATGATAGGCGCGTCGTCAGGTTGTTTGGATCTCCATTGCTGAACGGCACAACCACCACCAAACCAACAGGACGCAAGATTCGTCCAAGCAGGATTAAACACACGACACACGCCTTCTCAACCGGGTGTTCCAGCCGCCGCCCATGCCGCGCACCTGGAAGGATGCCCGCAGGTGCTTCACAATCCTCGTGAGGTGCGGGTGCTGCAGCGCGGCGGAGCGCACTGGGCACTCCTCATCACACAGCGAGCAGAACAGCTTGATGCACTCCTGCGCAACACGGCCGGCGAGCTCAAACCGCGCGACTCCAATCCCATCTCCCCCAGCGGCCGGCCCCCGAGCCCCGCCTGCACCGCCGCGGCAAAACATTCGACGGCATCCCCGCGCACGCGTCGAAGACCCGAGCAGAGCATGGGCCTCGACGCCAGGCCTCTCGACGCGAGCGATTCCAGCAGCCCAACCGCTCGCAATTGCGCTGGGTGCAATTGCACCGCGGGCAGGGGCGCCCATCCCGCGGCACGGAGTTCGCGTCGCTCCGGATGTGTGCACCGTCCCTCCTGGGGGCCATGGATCCGAACCGCCCAGGACGCTGGACAAGCCGATAAGCGCGGTCATTGGCCGCGCACACACACGGCCCGACGAACGCCACGCGGGCAGGCACCGCGCCAGTGTCGCGTCCACGGACGACGCAGTCCCGTCGCCCAATCTCCCAAGATCCATTTCGACGACCGGCCCCCCGCGAATGGCGCGCCAATCGCCGGGCGTCAGGCCCGATCCCCACCCGCCGTTCCCGGCCCACTGGCCCCACCTTCCGCGCGAAGGGCCTCTGCTCCTTGCCTTGGCAGACGCTCGACACCAGCGTGGACAGGCCGTCAAGGTCCAGCTCCTGCGCACGCCGAGGTTCAGCTGGACCAAAGCTCCGGGAACCTGAAACCGTTGGCTTTGAAACGAAACCGGTTGGGCTGCGCACAGAGTTTCGTGCGCAAAGGCCACACATACGGGCAGCGCCAACAAGGTGCTCACAACTTCGCAATCCGTTGCTCGTTCGGCTGCTCCCCTGCAGAGTTGGGCAGCGCGACCTTGTGATCCACCCATCCCACTCCCACCCCAATCCGGCATTGCCCCCGCTCACGTGGATGATGCCCATGAGCTCCTCGTAGGCCGGGCGCTGCGTGTCGCGCTCGCCCAGCCTGGTCAGGCACTGCAGGATGCGCTCCTTGCGGCGGTGCCGCCGGGTCCGCGGCGACAGGTCTGGCGACCCGGGCTGCCTCTGCTCGCCGGCCATCCCCCCCGTCCAGGCGAAGGGCCCCTGATTCGAATGCCGGCAGGCGACTCAGACGCGCGACGGTAGCCCTGAGCAGAGGTGGGGGGCCGTGGTTGGACCTGCGGGTGGCGCACCGCGCGGGAGGAGGCGCGCCAGAAAGCGGGCCGGGGACCAGCCTCTGGAGGTGCCGGGCTCCGAGGTACTGAGGGGAGGGGGGGAGGGGGCAAAAGTACTGGAGGCGACCTGCGGGCCGGCATGTGCGGGAGGGCCATGATGTGAGGGTTGCATCGGGGCTGGCGAGGGAGTGAGACGGGCGAGACGCTGAGCTACGGTTTAGGGACCGTAGAGCGGGCGCGTAAGGAAACTCCTTGTAAACTGCCCCAAGCATGAAGGAGCAAGGCCAACTCTTCACACGACCAGCCGTTCACATGCAAAAATCTGTTCACCTTTTCCTGACGCCTCCAAGGCCTGCGGGTCCTGTCAAGCCCAAAAAGGGATTGTTCCAACCACGTCAAACTCCACGGTCAGAGCACCATTCTCATCAATTTAAGTGATATGTGCGTCACCAGCCCGAGACAAAAATAGCGCCTCAGCTGCACCAAATCAAACGCACACCCAACAGGCAGGGCGGCAGGTAGTCTGTCGCACAGCTGACGTTGAGGGCAAGCAACCGTCAGGGACTATTCGCCATTTTGGTCAGGTTCGTCTGGGAGCTGTCATTCTTCCTTCATGGTCCGATCGCGCAACTGTCGCTTGCAGAAAACGACCTGTTTGCGATGCCAACTGCAATGCCATTTTGACACAAATTGATGCCGTCACAGTGAACGCGATGGCATAAAAGGGGCTGCGATGGCATCAATTTGTGTCAAAATGGCATCGCAGATGGCATCGCAGACAGGCTGTTTTCTTTTGGTGTGCGAGCTTTGTTCGAGTTTGACGCCTGCATGTTGGTGATGATGACGGATGGGAAAATGAAATGCTCTTCGATGTGTCCATGCACGTCGCTGCCGCCATGGTTCAAGGGCACCGCTTTGTCACGTAGAATGCAATTTCAGGGGATTGCGGCCGGTTGGCGATGCATCGTGTGAGCCAAGGATAGCTTCGCAGCTGCCAACAGGGTGACAAAATGCTTGCGGTCCTTGGGGTCCGCAACTAATTTGTATGGGTGCGCCGCACGCCCAAATCGCCCCACCAACTGGCGTCGCGGAAAATGCCTCGCTTGAAAGTCGCTGCGATGGGAAGCGCGACAATTTCTGTTGTGCCCACAAATGTTGCGTTGCGTTTGTGCATAGTGACGGAAGGATAGACGCTGGGCAACCCGCAGCTCATTCACAATCGACGTCTTTCTGTTGATGTCAAATGCAGGATCACGATGCCACTCGCACACACAAACGATGCATTTACAATCATCTGCTCATTTAACAACCAATTTCTCGACCAATTACTGCCTAGCTCCATCGATATTGCACAAAACTGACGCTGAACGGAACTCTATTCTCTCAATCTCACGTCACGTTGAGTAACATCCATCCAACCATACGGGCGGCCGGAAGAAAGAGCCGCCTTGCTGCGGAGCCGACCGACCTCAGGCTTATTCCAACGGGGGCCATGAGCGGCGACAAACAACCGCACTCTCCAACACCCCACGCCTTCGACGCCTGGTACGTTACCCCCTAACACAAGGAACCCTCGAATCAGTGCCATTCGCTATGGTCTTCAAAACAACACCGCAATGCCGATAACGCAGAACGCCAGCTTTATGACTACGAGAAAAACATCAACCGCAATCAGAACGATGAAGACGACGGGATTCCAGCACATTGCCACTATATCAAAAACCACGCACGTGCCGCCATCCCTCGAGTTGTGTCGTCAACATCCACGCAGATTCCGACGGAAGCGATATGAATCCCTATGCATTAATATAAATTCTCATGCATTGATATAAATTGTTATGCATTGGGGCCTATCCGTGGCCCGGCTCACCGGCTGACGGTCCTGAAGCTAAGGCCGCCAGAGGCCACGCATTCCAGCTGCGCCACCGCGTCGGCGATGGTCCTGCAGTCCACCTCGTCGAACACGCCCTGTATTATGGAGCTGTCTGGCTGGGTCCCGGGGGCCGCCTCCCCCCTGCCCAGCACCTCCCTCAGCTCCTGCACCTGGGCGTCCGTCTGGCAGGCGCCCAGGGGGCAGGGACGCAGGCCCTCGATGCCCTCGTCCAGGCGGCAGCCGCATACATCCGATTGCTTGCCGGCGGAGGGGTCCGCGCCTTTGTGCAGGAGGAACTCCGCGCCGGCCGTGTTGCCATAGTACGCGGCATAATCCAGCGGTGTCGAGCCGACGGACGTAACGGCGTTGATGTCCATGCCACCCTGGGGGATCCCGAACAGCCGTCAGGGCCTTGCGTTGTGGCCTTGCAACGTTGGTTGGTTGGTTGATTGATTGGTAAGCGGAAGCTTGTTAGTTAAATACTAGACGGGCCAGTTGAGCAATTACTACAGGGAAACGGCGATAACACGTTAGAACAACGCGCTGGGTCTCAGTGACGTTTTGGAGGGGGTTCTGCCGCCTTCATACGGTCTCCAACCGTGCAGTCCAGAACAGTGTGATGAGCCAACAGATTTCACCACTTCGCACCACGTTAGAAACAGAAGTCCTTAGCCGCAAAACTAACTTGAACGGGAGAATTACCAAAACAACGCATCCTCATAAGTGACATCAAGCAGTGCAAACATCCCTGTCTTTCATTGTATAATGTGCATACTCGGTGTCGTTTTGTAGGCGAGCTCGCGATGACAGGTCTTCCCCATTCCAAATGCACAACATGTGACCTGCGCCCAGGATTTACCGATCGCAGCTTCGGCGGTGTATCTCACCTCATCGATCAGCACTTGCATGATGGACTGGCTGCCAAGGTTCACCGCCGCGGCGTGCAGGGCGGACAAATCCCCCTGTCCGTTTATCCTTGTCTCGGCGCCGACGTCTATCAGCTCCATCAGGATCTTGTAATGCGCGCCCAGGGGCGGGCTGGCGCCCGCCGTCACGATGATGGGCGTCGCCCCGATAGAAAACTCTTTCAAGTCGACATTGGCGTCCGCGTCCAGAAGCGCCTCCACGGCCTCCAGGTGACCCTGCTCCGCGGCGAAGTGCAGAGCGGCGTAGCCATCGATGTCCTGGTGGTCCACTTCCGCACCCAGCGCCAGCAGAATCTCGATGATGTCTCTGTTGAGGAGGGGAGCGGGCAACTCGTTGGGAACGTTCGGGACAGGCGCGCACCATGTCTCGCAGCGGCAATCGACGTCGCTCGGCTGGTGCAAGGGCGCCACTTTTTGGCAATAGCTTTGGGGAACGCCGTTTACAGGCTGGCCATTGTAAAAACGACTTCATTGTGCATGTGAATGCAAATAAGATTGCTTGATAGCATTTCGATTACATTCTATGCTATGTTTGCTTGGCGCTAGTTTGCTGGCAAAATCGTGTGTGAAATGAGGCCAACAACGGGCCAAAACCTGTGCATCCTTTCAACCAGCAATCATTAGCAAGTCTCCAGTATTGCAAATGTAGTTCAGCAGTAGCTATCACGGTGGTGGCAGAAATACAGCACTGTTACATCATGCCACAATAATATTGCAATCAGTGAATGGTACGTTCTTGGTCCCGTTTCCACCAATGAAATGCAACCAGTGAAGATTCACACACCTGTGGCCAAAAAAGGCTGCCAAGCCGAGCGCCGTCTGGCCGTCGTTGTTTTCGGCAGCGATATCTGCGCCGGCCTGAATCAGGGCTCGGGCGATGCCGTCCAATCCCCTAACGGCGGCGAATATGAGCGGCGTGTTGCCCTCGCCGTCGATCGCCTCGACATCCGCCCCGGCTTCGATGAAAGCCTCCACAGCCGTCAGGTTGCCCGCCTTCACCGCCTCCAGAAGTGTCTGCACAGCGAGAAACTCGTCGCTTCCCATTTCAATGTCGCAGCATGTTGCGCGCAATTGCAACAAGCGAGAGAATCATTGCCAATCACTGGTGCGTTGCTGTGATTCACCGCTGCATGTTGAAACAGGGGCAATTGGTGTCACATAACTAGTGGATTGCACAGCTCTCTGGCAGTGAACGTGGCAGCGGGATAGTCGAGTGTTTTCCTGGGGCGGACACCGAAGTACATGTTGTGAGTGGCACATATTCATCTTGAAAAGGGGCCCAAGACAATGCACTCGTCCAACTTGTGGATGTCACAGCGCCAGGACGTCTCCATCGCCACCCTCACGCAACAAACCTTGGGAGGAAGGATGCCAAGGGCCTCATTGAGCTCTTTGATGTCATCCTCTGTTTCGCAGTTGCCCGCTGGGCAGTCCGGCGCTCCCTCGTCGTCCTCAGTGTCCATGCATCCGCACACAGCCGTGACCCCGTCGTCCATCTTCCCTCCCTGCGGAACATAACCAGGTTCGCTTCAGCTCGTGGACGAACTTCCTAGTTCGCTGTGCGGATGCCAACGAAGCTGCTGGGCGGTGTACACTGCCTATTAGGGCGAACGAACTCTTACTGCATAGATGATGCTGTATCAGAATGCAGCATTCATTCGCCTGTCACGCATTTGGCTGACAATGGAGGCACTCTTTAAGGAAAGCAAATTTGCTGGGACCAGGGATCAACCCAGAAATTCCATATTCTCACCTCTGACAGGAGGAATTTCACATTGCCCAAATTGCCCATGAAGGCCGCGTCGCCGACGGGCGTCACTCCAACTTCGGTCTCTGCATCGACGCTCAGCCGCTGCCTCAGCAGCAGGGTCAGCACGTTGATGTTGTCCGGAAAGAGGGCAGCAGTGTGCAGCGCCGTGCGCCCGAACTTGTTCTTGGCCTGCACTTCTGCGCCGTTCTGCACCAGGAGCGTCACGACGTCCACGCCGTGGAACTCGGCCGCTGCGATGAGCACCGTGTCGCCGTTCCCCCAGGCCACGGCCTTGATATCCGCCCCAGCGTCCACGAGCACCTGTGGAAATCCCAAATGTCAAAGTCAGCAACCTTGCGCAGCTGCCAACGCCCAAGATTGGTCGGCATTTCCTGCTGATCAGCAGGAAGACGACCAGTAAGAACTCACGGATTCGCTCGTGGTATGTTCTCTCTTGTGAAGAAAGCAGAGACCTTGGAACCTGCAGGCAATGACTGGGATACACGCGTCCGCACAATACTGCTCGTCCCTGTTCCTTCGGTCGTCCGTGCTACCGCCTCGTTGGCGTGGGCCAATTGCACAGTGCCATGATATCATGGGGTAACACCATGTTGTCACGTACACAATAAAAAATTGCGGCAACACAATCTTTCAAAATTCCCAACCAACTTGAAGAGGGGTTAGCGAAAAGTGCACATGTACTATGCCAATTTCGGTGTTTAAGAATACAATCTAACCCTGCTTCAGGATACAGTCCCAAGCGCATCTGTGTGCGAATGCCCGAGTGTTTCACATTTCGCCTTGACGGCTTATTCTCTGCTTGGCTACATTGCATTGTTGCATTGTGCTGGACACCTGATCATTGCGGTGAATACCAAAGCATGTCACTTGAAATATCACAAACATACATCCACGAGGCGCATTTTGGGGGGTCCGTTTCAGCACGTGGCCCCCAGATTCACATTCCTGGGCGAGCAAAAGCATCCCACACCACTGAAGCAGTAAGCACAAGATTTCTCGCGCGTCCTCTCCATGATTCAAATCATGGGGTTCGTATTCGAAACCTGGCATTCCATGACATTGCGCGGTCGCGCACACACCTGCATCTGGAAAAAGGGTAGAAGTTGACGCAACATTGTGGCTGCATTGCCATTGATGCCATGTCCAGGAACCATCAGAAAATTCCCATGTGTCAATATTGACAAGCGCTGATGCGTGTGCCAGCTGGTATTGCGCCAACGCTGACACGCTGGCCCTGCTGCAGTGCCGTTCGGCGTCGCGTCCACGACACTGCACACACGCCATGTCACCAATGCATATACCCTTTTCCCGGATGCGGAGCCCCGCCGCCCCGGAGACCGCCTCCACTCGCCTTGAAAATGTCGAGGGCGCCCTGAGCCGCGGCTATGTGCAGCGAAGTGTAGCCGAACGACGTCCGCGCCTCGACGTTGGCGCCCCTCTCCAGCAGCAGGTCGACGACGTCGGCGTGCAGGCGGAAGGTGGCGCCGATGAGCGGCGTCTCCCCCGTCATGTAATACCTCCCGTCCACGTCGGCACCGCCGTCCAGAAGGGCTCGAACCAGGCGCAGATTTCCGTCCTCCGCTGCGATTTGCAATGGCGTGGCCCCGTCGTCCGATCGCAGTTCTACGTCCGCGCCTTCCTGTGCGCAGAGGGAACACAAGTGTAAGCTTTCCCGCGCTGAACTTGTGCTGCTGGATACACAGCACGACACATGTGTCATATGCGTCATATGTCACGCAGCTATGACACATATGTCATAACGATTGTGGCAGTGGAAGTTTGCCTTCGTGGCGTCAATAATGCTTATGTTGTGTTGGGAATGTGGGGGGTGGGGGTAGGCGGTATGAAGTAAGCAATGCAGACGCTCAAACGCAGCGCACACCCAACCAACGCTGCTGCGTGCGCCGGCGATCTGCATCTCCGAGGTGCTTGACAGGCGCATGCACAATTTTTGTGCAAAATTTCTAGTGCAGCAAGCAAGACAAAGGGGCGGGCGCTAAATGATTGGGTATTTGGAGGACTGTACATTCCTGTTACAGAAATGATAAATCCGCAAAAACCAAAAGAAAAAAGTAGATTTTGATGAGCATGCTGCTGATGCCTGTGGCGTGTATCCGCAGCGCCACATGTCCGTCTTCGGCCAAGCTGGTCTCCAATCATGTGATTCAAGTGCCAAGCACTGAGACTAATGCAGTTAAGCTGGTCAAGCTCGTGCAATCTGCAGGGATCAGTCCTGGGACGGCAGCACAACGTTTGGCGAACAATCATGAAGACACTGGCACATACTGTTGTGGTTGTGTACAACACCCATGATCGCCCAACAGCAGAATAATGTGGTGACATCGTACAAACATGTTCACTGAGATTTTGTGCAAGTGCACAAGTGCAAACAGCAGGCTCTCATACTACTTCTGTTCCTCTGTTTCTGTTTTTTGCTCACAGTAGAACAGGAAGAAGAGAGAGGACGGCACGAGGTTGAGGCGCTGAAAATCGACACTGCAGAAAAAGAAAAACTGTTCGTCTCAAGCCATCACGACCAATGGCGGATCGGCTTTGGCGTGTGCGTGCAACAGAACTCCTTGTCGTTATGCCCACAGCACTGCCACATAATCAACGATTTTTACCCGAATGAGGAAGAGGACCGATTCCTCCTGGTCCATGGAGACAGCAGCCCACAACGCCGTGCTGCCTATTTGGCCTTGGTGGTTGATATCTGCCCCAGCGTCCAGAAGAACCCTAAAAGACAACAGAACCCACGGGGCTTATGAACCCATTTCCAGGGAACCTGCAATGGCTTCTGAAGCCGCCGTGAACAATGAATCATTGTTCATCCACATTAACGTTATAATAAACAAGTTTTTTCTGCTTTTGTAAATGCAGCTCAGTGGGTGCCAGATGCCAACGATCAGTCCACAATTATGGTGGCTGTCAATGTCAACGCTCTGAATGTGGCATTCCAATCAGCGATTCAGCGTTCTGTCAGGGGCAAGAAAAAAATGCATATTCCATGGAAATATACAAAAATACGCAAATGCGACGGGTACGATTATTGTGACGATCACTGCTTTGAAACAAAAGCCAGGTACGGCAACTGAGGCAATATTGTGGAGCAGGACGTCCCCAGGAGAAAGCTCAAGAGGGCAACCAATAAAAGTTCTCAAATTGTGTCGACATGCACCACATAATGTTCCTAAATGATTCGACGATATATACCAAATGCAGTTAAATTAGGCGCACTGAGAAATGATTCGGTGGTCAGTACAAACAAACGGATTAATGGATGCGAAACCACCATCTCATATTAACAGCCTCGGATGTCGTGGGCCGGGTAGACAGCCTTACGGAATTCGGCCCGGGCCACTCCCCTCTTGACAATATGGATCCCGACAATGAAAAACACTCGGCAGCGATTTGAAAGACAATAGACCGCGACGCCACCTACCTCATGACAGCAACCTGGCCGTAATCCGCCGCAATGATGAGCGCGGTGTCCCCGCGGTCGTCGACAGCATCGACGTTCCCAACTAGCGGAATCAGCCTCTTTACTTCATCCACGTCCCCGTCCTCTGCTGCCTCGTGCAGCTCCTGAAAGCATGGCAGAACACAGTCTAGGAATGATAGATATTTACGGTGGAATACACACATACAAAAACATTTGCAGTGGAATGGCGATGCAAAGGAAACTATTCAGTGGCTCGAACTGTCACAGAAACATGTTCTGCAGCAGAGCGTGTGTTCGGTATGACTCTCAACGGCTGGAACTCAACCTGATGAACATCTCAACGGAAAGATCAACAAAATTTTTATCGGATGATCCATTGAGACCATTTTAGAATTGATTGGGCTTAAACAGGTGCTTCCATGGCCCTTTGTCAGGTCAGCAGCGTCCGAGTGCAGTTGCTTACCTCCACCAAATCCTCGTCATCTTGCAGCACTTTACGAGAAGACAGATGTTGGTGCGATGAATGCCCGTCAACAATGATCCGCTGTGGCCGCAGGCCTGCACAGAGGGGAAGGCCAGTCATGAAAGAGTCAATTCAAGCCGGGTGTACCCGATGAAATGGATGCACACGAAAGGAAAGGGGCAGGTTTTCGCCACAATTTCAATGAAAAAAACGATAGCAGCATATGGAGAATGGGAGAACCCAGCGACTCCAGATCCCTATGGACTATGCAAAACAGAAGTGCAAGGCGCGAGAGAGAGCGTAGCGCTCAGCCGCAGCAGGTGACATTGTCGCAAAGGACGCCACAATGGGCGACACCCGATGCGCACAAGGCGCCACGCTGCATTGCCTGGCTCTGTTCAGGGGGAATTCTGGACCCCAATGGTCCCAGAGGCCAAACGGCGCTCCCACGAGGACGGAGCTGAAATTCAGGCTTCGACGGTGTCCGAAGCCCGAAATCCCATGCGAGGGCCCGATCGGCGTGGTGCTCGCTCGGCGTCGGCGGCCGTTGGCTTCCCGCTGTCCGGATGGACATGGGGGCATCGATCGCGGCGACCGCCACAAAGATATTCCGCGACCATTTTACTAAGCCCAGCGTCGACTGTCCACCCCGAGCTTCGCGCGAATCCGGCAGCGGGGGACGCCGCGAACCCCCCGCCGCATTGCAATGGATCGACAACCATTGTCGCGTCGCGCCCATGGGGGCGCGCGTGATTGGCCAGTGCCCATTTGGCCTCATTTCCTCTCGCGGCTCTCGGGCGGAGAAGAAACGACCCCCTTGCGCGCGCATCGCGACGGGCGCCGTTGCGCGGGTGGAGGCCAATGGGCGCGGGTAACGATGGCAGCGTTGGGCCCTCGCGCCCTCATTTCAGTGGCGAACAGCATTCAAAACGGCGCAATTTCTCAGGCCCCAAGCCTCTGGCAACCAGTCAGCACCTCCAATTTCGCTGAAAGCCGACCGCGGGCCGCGAATCGAGTCCAACCTCACTCCTCGTGCAGGGGCGTCCCGGCTCAGAGACGCCGGCGGCCATGACGGGCTCCTGCGCATGTCGTGTCGCGAGCGGCGGAACCTTGCCGCCCTGCAGCCCAGTGCGGACGCCACTCACCGACGAGGGACGCCACCGGGCGGCCTCCAAACCCCTCCCGCCCCTCGAGGACGTGACTCATTGCAGCGGCCCCACAACAGCCGACCGCCAGCAGCAGCAGGACCGCCGTGGCGCACGCGGCGAACGCCGCCATTGGGCGCCGCCCGTGCATGGCTCAGCGGACTGTTGAACGAAACACGGCACGCGGCTCCGCGCTCGGCAGGCGGGGGCTGGACTCTGAGTGTGGGGCCTCCGGCGGTCACGGGAGTATGCGCAGCTTGAGGGGTTTGTGGAGGGGTGGGGAAGCGAGTGGCCCGATGTGTGACCCCCCACACGAAAGGGCGGCGTCGGCGGCCATGGCGGATTCGACGGCGTCAGTCAGCCGCTCAAGGGTCCATGTGAATCCGGCCCCTTCCGGCGGCGAAAGGTCGGGTGGTGTGCATGATGCGTCAGTGTGTCTCCGCGCACGTGATCGCGCAGGGCGGCCGCCGCCATCGTCATGCATCGTCCCAAGGTATATTCGCGGCGCCGCGCGTGGGCCGCTCGTCTGTCCTGCCGTTGTGACTGCCACCCTCAATGTTGAGCGCGAGCAAATGAAGGGACATTTTGGGGACGCGATGGACTGCGCAACGTGGGTGGGGTGCCCCTGGAAGTCCTGGAGGCCAAGAGGCGGTGCTTTCTAGCTCTTGACGGCCCCAATCCGTGGGTGGATGGCTAGCCTCTCGAGAGAGTTGGCAGTCAATTTTTCCGGCGTGCGCTGTTCATGCAACCGGTTACGCGTGTGGACCACAGCTTGGGCGGATGTGTTCGCATCTCGACAGGCCGAATTGCAGGCCGCCCGCCGGTCGAGCAGCAATCAGAAGCGTGCCTCTGCCGCGCTTAGACGGATCGCAGCCGGGCCATCCAGCGCCACCCCGGTGGAGCTGGATGTCAGTGGACACCAGTTGGTATCTGAATCGGATAATGATCATCCAACAGACTGGGTGAAACTGCATCGGATAGTCGGGTGCAGTTTCACCTGGTCTGT